CTAAACCCTAAACCCTAAACCCTGAACCCTGAACCCTGAACCCTAAACCCTAAACCCTAAACCCTGAGCAAGAACCCCAAAGTCCGAAACTCCGGAGACCTCCTCCTTCACGAACGCTCAACTCCCTAGGCGGTTGCCTGCCAATCCCAACCCTAAAATGCCCAAGCCCTAAACTCTAAACCCTAAACCCTAAACCCTAAACCCTAAACCCTAAACCCTAACACTCTTACGAGGTTGGCCTCTTTCGGGGCCGGTTGACACCGCCGCAAAGAAGGTGCCGCAAGCAGCAAGCTGAGATTTTGGTTTCTCCAAACAGGAATCAGGGCTTAAGGTTTTGGGATTCAGAAAATTTAGGGTTTGTGCTGTTTTTTTGGGGTTCGGGGTTCAGGGTTTGATGTGGGGGGTTAGGAAGGCAGTTAAGGCTCACGGCTGTTCGAGATAGAATCTCCTAAGCCCTAAGCCTTAAACCCTATATCCTTACCCAAAGGCTCCTATGTAGTACATTTTTGGGGTAGTATACTAGAATCCCCTATAACTAACCCAAAAGGAACTACATTGGAGCCTTTGGGTGAAGCGCAGGTCATGATCCTGATCATGCTGACCCTTGCGGACTCTCCGCGGCAAGAGCTAGCCTGGGATCTCAAGGCACAGCAGAGCCAGGCGCCGGCCCTGGGGGACTGTCGTCTTTAAGGGCTTATAGGGGCTTAGAGCGGCTTATGCAGAGGCTTATGCAGGAGTTTATAGGCTTTATGGGGGTTTATGAGGGTTTATCGGGTGTATACAGAGAGAGAGGTTTATGTTGGAGTTTATGGGGTTTGTATAGTGCATAGGGTTCATAGGCCTCATAGGGTTTACAGGGTTTATAGCCTTTATAGAGTTCATAGGGCTTACAGGGTTTATAGGGTTTAGGGTTTATAGGTTCACAGGGTTTAAAGGGATATCCGGTCATGGGGCTTAGGGGTTTAGGGTTTAGTGGCCGGATATTTTTGGGCTCCTTGGGTTTAAGGTTTAGAGTAGGGTTTATAAGGGCTTTTGTTGGGCTTCAGGCTCACTGGCGTTAAGTGTCTTTACTGGCTTGCGTGCTTGAGGGGTTGAGGTTTGCCTCAGGGTTTTGGGGGCTTTTCGGTCCCAGGCATTTCTGTGGGTAACCCTAAACCCTAAACCCTAAAGCCTAAAGCGGGACTTAAGGCTTGTTGTGGGCTTAGGGGCCTTGTTAGCCCTATGAGTTCGCTTCCCTTTGTGTTGGTGGCATCCCAAGTTTTCTTGCAAGGTCAGAAAATGCCCATGGCAGTACGTTACCCGGGTTTAGGGTTTAGGGTTTAGGGTTTGGGGTTTAGGGTTTAGGGTTCAGGGTAAGGGGAAAACACACCCTAAACCAATGCCCATGGAGAGGTGCTCAGGCGTGCCGAGCCACTCCTCCACGTCGCCGCCGAGTACTTCGAAGCGCAGGGACAAGGCGCCAAGCTGCTTCTTGCCGGATTGTTTGGGATGGTCTCCTTTATGCTAACAGTCCCTAATAGGGCTTAGGGATTCTAGTACCCCCCCCCCGCCTATGAGAATCCCTATTAAGGACTGTTAGTATAAGGGAGAACATCCCAACCGGATTGGGTCCTTCTCGTTTAGGGTTTGGGGGTTGTTGGGGTTTCGGGTTTTCAGGGTTTGGGTTGTCCAAGCTGCTTCTTGCCGGTTAGTGTTGTTCTAGTTCGGTGTTTGGGGGGTTTAGGGTTTAGGGTTTAGGCTTGTGGGTTGGGGGCATGGGCTTTAGGATGAAGGGCTTGGGGGTTCTGGGTTCTTCGGAGCTGTTCAGCTGTTTGCACGGAATGCCAAGAACTTCAATTTTGAAAGGTGGCTATATTTGCAATTTTACACGGCTGCTTCGGGATGTAGAGCTTGGGTCTTCAGGTTGTTTGGGCTGGTTTGGGGTTTAGGATTTCCGGGTCTAGGGTTTCGGGCAGTAGGGTTTAGGAGGGCTTGTGTGTGCGCGCGGGGGGGGGGGGGGGGGGAGGTAGGGATGAGGAACCCTCCAGCCTGCTGGAACACTAGGGTAGCTCTTTCAGACTTGTCGAGTCCAGGATTATAAAGGTCCTTAAGCCTGTGTTTAGGTCCCCCTAAACCCTAAACCCTAAACCCTTATTATTAGGAATCCACAATCTGCCAGCAGGGCCGGCGGTGGCGGCTTGCTTGCTGTTGCGGAAGTGTCGCCACCTTAGCATCGCGCGGCGTTGCGCTGCGCGCCATGCGTTTTTTCTCGAAGCTTGCTCGAACCTTTGATCGAAAAGTCGCGCTCTCGTCAGGGCGCAAGCGTGACTGTACGTCGCCGTCCTCGAAGCTGTCATGGCTTCTGAACGTCTGGGCTCGCCAGATTTCTGGATTTCTGGGCTCACCTGGTCTCTCACTGTTTGCGGTCTACGCAGGCAGAACATACAGAGAACCTGACAACAACGCTTGCATCACGCCATTACGAGTGTGGAACCCTGATACAAACTTTTCAGGGCGAGCATTCAGGCGGGTCTGAGGTTTAGGGTGCAGGGGTTTAGGGTTTAGGGCTGAAGCCCCAAACCCCCCCAATTTTTTGGGGTTTTTGGGGGGTTTCGGGCTCAGGTCGCCCTCCTGGGGTTTATATCAGCTCAAGGGGTTTGAGGTTTAGGGTTGACTAGTGTCGGTAGGGCGACAGTTATAAGGCTGTGAGGGGTTGATAAGGGGGGCATCGGGCAGTTTATCGGGTGTGTTGTTTGCGTTTTTTTTCTGGGAAGCGGGCTTTTGGGTTTGTAGCGAGTATAGCGTATATAGGGTTCATATTCGTCCGCGCTCCACCACGGATGGAGACCCCTTAACCCTGAAACTAAGCCCTCAACCTTAAACCCTAACCCTAAACCCTAAACACACCACGAATCACGGGGGACGGGGAAACCTCCGGGGGCTAGAAGGACGGGAAGGGTGCGCATAGGGGTCTAAGGTTTGTTGGATATACAAAATGTAGGGCTGAACTTAGGAGTTTTGGCTGGGGCTTGGGGTTTTGGGTTTCGGTTTTGGGGCTTACCGGCTGGTATTGCTGAGGCCTTCGCGCGCAGCTCTGGGAGGACCGTTGACTGTAGGTTGCTCGTGTGTATGGCAGGGTTTAGGATGTAGCTACTTGGGAGTTCCCATAAGAAGTTAAGGGACCCCTATTCTGGGACATGCACAGATGGGCGTTGTCTAAAGCAGTGGTACGCCCCCATACATAGCATGCAGCGTGCCCTCCGCTAGAAGCACCCCCACAAGGGACTCTCAGATTCGCAGCTGGACCTGTTGAAGCGGAAAGGCTCATCTGCAGGCAATGGCCTTCAACTTGTCCCATATACCCTCTCAGCCTTCAACCCAAACAAAGCCCTAACCCCTGAACTCAACCCAGTTTGTAGGGTTGAGGCCCCTAGTTATAGTTGCACCTGTGGGAGAGGACACGGCAATGCCAGTGCGTCAGCTGAAGGGCATCCTCTCTGCGAATATTTGCAGGATTTCAGGGCAGCGTTTTCCTTTGACATGTCGCTGCCAAGTGAAAGCACCTGATGAGATTCAGGCCCCCCAAGAAATCCCATTGAGTTTTTTAGAGCCTATACCCAAGGACCAAGACCAAACACCCAACTCCAAATCCCTGCCCCTTTGGGGTGCTTCTACTTTAGGCACGACTTTAGGCTTTATAAGTTCAGAGTTTAGGGTTTAGGGAAACCCCTCAACCCTAGACCCTTTCAGGCATCGGGGACAAGTTCGCGGCGACGTTGCACCAGCACGGCCTGGCCTCCTTCCAGGGCCTCTGCAATGCAGACCCGCAGCAGATCGACCGCTCCTGCCGCTCAGGGCACCAGTGGAGGTTCAGGGCACTTATGAACCATATTAGGGTTTAGGGTTGAGGGTTAAGGGTTTAGGGTATAGGGTTTAGGGTTTAGGATTTAGGATTTCGGGTTAAGGGTTTAAGGGTTTAGGGTTTGTCTTAAAGGGGTTTAGAGGGGTGTTGACCCAGCGTTTTGGGGTTAACTTCGTGTGGTTTGGGATGTCTCTGTTTACGGGATCCGTAGGGCTCTTGGGAGTGTAAAGGGTTTCTTGGGTCTTATGGAAACTCATGGAAGAGTGATTCAGCCCCTAAGGCTAACCAGAGTCCTAACCCCCCCCCCCCCCCGCGATTTTATAAGCCGAAGGTCAATCCCGGGTGTCGGGCGCCGATCTGCAGGCAAAGTTGCGCAGCATTCCTCGTATCGGGCTGCGGTTGACCCTGGCCAGGGATTAGGGCTTGGGTTATATAGGGATCAGCATCTATATAGGATTAAGGGATTATTGGACGCAGGGACTGTAGTGTTTCTTTTGTTTCAAGGCTCGCGTGGGGATTCTGTACGCTTAGAATTTTGGGGTTGTAAGGGGCGCTCGAAGGCTGAGGTTTGGGCTTTTGAGGTTCTTGACTCTTGACTATGCTTTTTGTTCATCCTGTATCTATTATAATACCCAAGGAAGGAAAAATTCCACATGTTGTGTTGACTATACTTCTGAGGGGACATGGGGTCGCATCTCGAACAGCTCCCCCCCCCCCCCCCCCCAACCCTCTCTAAAAAGAAAAACTTCAGTTTCAGCTGAGGACCCCGCAGGGAGGTGGCGGAACTGTGTACATTCAGCTGGCCAGTAGCGCGCAAGATGCCATGAGGCAGACAGGTTCCCTGGGGGTATCTGGGTCGCAATCCCTATGCCCTGACGCTCTGAACCCTAGAAAGACAACCCTAAACCCACGCTCCGGGGGGCCCAGGAAGCGTTCTGCGTTGTTATCTCTGTGCCGCCCAAAACGTACCATTCGCACCCCCAAACCCGCGACTGTAGCCCTGGAAGGACACAGCCTAAACAATTGAGGGACTGGGTAGGAAACCTTAAGACCTTTTTGGTTGCATAGAATCCTGCCATACCTAAACGGCTAACCCTTTTTTGGGCTACATAGGGGGTCATCAGCCCCTAAGAAACCCTTATACCCATGCTAATCCCAGGCATGGAGCCATCTGGTTGTGTATGCGGCACCTACGGGCCAGCTCCTGAAGCACCTCCGCTTCCCCTCCCGGCAGCCGCCCCAGGGTGTTTCGGTGACGCTCCAGGCTGCCAGCGGCTGCTTGGCTTCCCTATAGGGGTTTAGGGTTTAGGGTTTAGGGTTTAGGGTATAGCCATCACTTTGGGCTACTTGGAGGTGATTTTTCATTTTTTTGGGGGGCACTTCAACTCCGAAAAAAACAGCCAAAATTGCAATTTTTGCTAGGGTTCCAAGTTCAGTGTCGCCCTCTCCATCAGTCACCAGGAAAAGCATGATTCGCATGATCGTTTTAGGGTTTTAGGGTTTTAGGGTTTTAGGGGTTTAGGGTTTTAGGGTTTTAGGGTTTAGGGGTTTAGGGGTTTCCAGCGAACTAGTGACTAACTAGTGCGGATTGAAAGTTTCGAGCGGGTCCAGATGAAGACCATGCCCCAAAAGCCCAGGGGGGCAACCCCAGTGGAGCCGATTACAAAAACCCAGCGGAGCTCAGTACGGAAACCCAGCGAAACAGAGCAGTGAAAATGCTCATGAACACCGAGAAACCAGCAGGAACCAATCGCCCCTTCAAATAGGTTCACTCCATAAGGTCCAGCGCGCTTGATATATTCCAGCGAAACAGATTCGCATGGTGATGGTTTTGGGCGATCTGTTAGTTGACCAGGCAAGGTCTCTTCTAGGGTGACGATAAAGGAAGCCGGAAGTCTGTTTTAAGCCCCGCGGTCGGCAAATCGGGTCACATGATTTCGGTCACCAGCAACACGCAGGATGCCTCATTGAAAAAGTTGCAGCTTTTCAGCTGGCGAGTCGCTGAGACCCTGTGCCCTAGATCCTTCAACGCGCGCCCGAGGGCTCGTGGCCCGCGTGATCTATGAGGACGTGGTGGGCCTGGATGAACTTCAGGCTCTTGGGGACTCTCGTTTGGCTCCAAGCTTGAACTCGTCCGCCATGCCCTGCACGCCAAACCGGGACTCTGGCAAAGGGAGCTCCTGGGGCTGTTCTTGAGTAAAACACCTCTCAATGGTTGGTTGCTGACTCTTTTGAATTCTCAGGTCAATTAATGGAAACACCCTCACGGACCCAAAAGGAACTACATTCGGAGTCTTGAGGTAACTCCATGACCCCTCAACCCTCAGTGCAGAGGCTCCTGCCGCAGGAACGCAGACGCGGGCGCTCCCCGTGCGGCCCCGAAGCGCAAAGTGGCGGCCCCCCAATCAGGGCACGAGGCCACCTTCGCCCTCGCCCGTGCCAAATGCACTGGGCAGGTTGGGCGTTGTTTTTTTTTTTTTGGGGGGGGGGGGGGGGGGGGGGGTATACTGGTGTAGGGACTGTAGGGTTCAGGGTTTAGGGTTCCTAAGCCCCGAGCACTAAGCTCAAACGCTCAACTGTCAACCCTAAACCCTAATCCCAGGTGGAGACCCTGAACCTCATGCCGGAGCAGGGCCATGTTCAGCCAAGCTTCGAGTTCGGAGGTGGCTACTGCTATGGGCTGAATGGATCAGATATGCATGTTACACGATATCGGCTGTACCTTCCTGTATATTTAGTTCGGCAGCCTTATAATGAGGACCCAAAAAGGGACCCCTTTTTTAGAGAACTGCCCCCCATCAATGAATAACATACAACATGAATAAATTCATAAACACTTGTATAAATATGAATATAAAAAATAGAAATACAAATATAATATATATATATATATAGACATGAAGACAAATGGAAATAACAATTTAAACAAATATAAATAAAAATATAAATAAATATAAATAGATATAAGTAAATATAAATGAATAGATAAGCAAAAATAGGACGCTAAACCCTGAACCTGTAGACCTGGAACTAGGCGCGGTGTCATCCGCCGGGTTCATGACTTCTCGCCCGGGCCCATGCGAGTGGGCGTCAACTCCGGGACAAGATCCTTCCATTCCCCGGAGCAGGTTTGCGGCCCCTGGGTCGTGAAAGGAGGTTGATAGGGGCTTAGGGTTTGGGGTTGAGGGTGGAGGGTTTATAGGGTTGAGGGTTTATAAAGGTTGAGGGTTTACGGCTTTTGTCTTTCTCACGCTGATGGGTTTAAGTGCTTAGGGCTTTGGGGCTTTCGGCTCTGGAATAGCGAGCCCTGAGCGCCACATACAGTTGGCCAGCTTTCTGAGCTCATTGTCTTTGAAAAGGGCGAGGGTTCTAAGAACAGGAACAAAGCTAAGCTTAATATAACATCGCAATCTGGCATGGCGCCTTCTTGGGTACCGCCCCTCAAACCTCCCAAAACACTCCCCCAAGAAGCCAAGAAGCATCAGTCGCCTAAGCCTTCTCAGGCCCATCCTCCCGCAGTGAACTGCCAAAGAGCCCCTCTACCCGCCTCAGCCTTCACTGCTGCGGGCAGGCCAGCTGCCACGGGCTGTTCTGGTCTTCAGAGGGTTAAGGGTTAACGGGGTTCGGAGTTTTCTTTTAGCCCCTTTTTGGTGTTTTTACCCTAGACTAGATGTGAGGCCTCGCACGAAAATATAATACTCAGGACCATAACTCCGAGAGCTGCCACAAAGCACCCCTTCTGCATGAACCCGCCCTCGACAGCTCCCGTGCGCTACGTCGCTAGGGTGTCCGGCTCTTGAGATGCAGAGGGCTCTACAGAGTTAAGGATTTCGTATTTAGGGTGAAGAGTTTATAGACTTTAGGTCATCCCTCTGCCACCAGGCTGCGCAAGGGAGTCACCTCGCAATCATGGCAGCCTGCCGCGCCCACGCCGGATGCCACAGCCCAGCCGCACAGTGTCTCGGATGCCCTTATCCGATATGGGGGATTCCCTTTATTGATAGGGTCCCTTGTGGGGATAGTATTATAAGGTAGCCCCGAAGTTTTTGGGTACCCAAAAAGGGACCATCATGTTGAGAACTGACCATATAGAGGTTGTCAGGCCTTAGCGTTCAGTGCTGTACTCGTAAGAAGCCGTGCCTTCCCCCGCATTCGGTAGCGAGCTTTCAAGAACACTCTAGGTTCCGGGCCATACGGGTGCTTCGTCGGAAGACCTGCGAGCGGGCCGGAAGCGTTCTCCTCGTCCGGCTATTGAATCAGTGCGGGCAGTGGTTTATTGAAGCGCATCTGCGTGCGGGGCAGTGCACCCGATGCACCATGTATGATCGCAACTAGACAAGTCCGAAGGCCCTTTTTGTCTTCTTGCGGCCGGTACCATACACAAGGGCAGAATGCCGTACCGCTGAATTCGAAGTAGCAGCAAGCAACGACATTCAAGCTGCTTGCCTGGCGAGCTTTGAGGTGGATCCTACTGTTCATGACAGTATCGCAAACCCAAACGACTAAAGGGTAAACCCTATCCCTATCCCTAATCCCGAATTCCAAAGCCCCTAAACCCCCCCTTGCATGGATCCTCGCCAAAGAGCTGTGACTAGACATGGGTCCAGGCGGAATCCGCCTGCATGTGACCGCTGCGATCACTGGAATTGGGATTTGTGGTCTAGAACACCGAGCAATCCTTAAATCCTAGCACCATCTAAAACCCCAAAGCCGTGTGGAACCCTTAGCCCCGAAACCTTAGTCCCTGAGGTCATGTCAGGTTGTGTTTATGTTTCATTCCCCCCCCCCCCCTCCTTTCTAGGGGTTGAAAAGATTCCCTGAGAAGAATATATAGGGTTCCCTCCTTTCTTCCAGGCCCCCGCCCTACAGACCCTTGACGGGCCAGTCTAGGATTTTGGGGTTTATACCCAAAGGCTCCTATGTAGTACCTTTTTGGCGTAGTATACTAGAATCCCCTATAGCTAACCCGAAAAGGAATTACATTGGAGCCTTTGGGTAAGGTCTACAGGGTGTAGGGTTCCGGGTTCCTCGTAGCATCCCGTTCGGGGCTGAAGTGCATGTCTGGGTTCCTTTTGGGAAGCTCCTTTACTATGGCGGGGACCAGCATCGTTAAGGTGACCCTGCACCACCAAAGACCCTCAACACCGAGACGCTAAACGCGCGCCCGAAAGCCCTCCTGCAAATCTCCCGGAAAACCTTCAACACAATTTTTTCGACACCCCAAAGGCCCTAAGTACCACAGAGTTCTTTGATTCCCCACAGTCCCTACTGGCCCTTAGTTCCCAAACTGCCATACAACTTCCCTAAATTTCCTGCATGCACGAATTGCCCCGCACCCTCAGCCTCAATTATATGGGGGTTTACGAAAAGAGGGGGCCCCCAATATAGACCCCCAAATAGTAGTATTCCCTGAAAATCAGGATCCCAATATGGTACCCCTACTATCGTAAGCCCCTAAACCGTAAACCCTCAACCCTAAACCCTAAACCCTAAACCCTATTTTCGTAAGCCCTCTTTCTGCCGCTTTGACGACCTTTTATGGCCCAAGCCAGCCAACTGCCGCCAGAGACGTGGCGCCCACCCAGAGCCAATTGCAGCGATCTGAGCGTCTTTTTCGGAGGGAGTCGGGTTTAGGGTTTGGGGTTTAGGGTTTGGGGTTTAGGGTTTAGGGTTGAGGGTTTGGGGTTTAGGCTTTAGGCTTTAGGGTTGAGGGTTTATTTATAAGGGCCTTGGGGGCTTAGTTAGCAGGTGAGAAAGGGACCTACACGAATCCAAAAACCTTGAAGCTCCGTGTGGTTTGAACCTAGGGCTTTTACTGTTTTGCTTCAGGCTCTTGAGTGTTTGGGGTCCAGGGTGCGGCTTTTCGATCTTTTTCTTAGGGTTTGGGGTTTAGGGTTTAGGCTTAATAGCACGGTTCAAAGTGCCCGAAACTCTGAGAACCCCAAATCTTAAAAGATCTTAAACCCTGAAAAGCCCGAAAATTACCCAAGCACTATAAAGTCCTAAAACCCGAAGAGCCCTAAACCCTAAACGCTAAACCCTAAACCCTAAACCCTAAACCCTAAACCCTAAACCCTAAACCCTAAACCCTAAACCCTAAACCCTAAGCCTAAACCCTAAACCCTAAACCGTGAAAAACCCTCAAGGCTGCAGTGGGTCTTCTCTGTGGACAAAAAAACGAGGGTTTGAAGGGCTGACTGGGTCCTTGCTGGTTATAATTTTACATGTTTGTCATGTTAAATTCCCAAGAAGGAACAGACATGATATTTTGGCTTTAACCCCATCAAGGAAGCAGTTGAGGTTTCAGGGTTGAGGGTTCAGGGTTCAGGGGTTGAGGGTTTAGGGATGAGAGTTTCGCGTTTCAACTCGAAACCTTTCTAGGTGCCAGCGACGGAAAAGAACCGGCCACGCCCAGGCGGCACGCCGGCCACGCCCACATCAACTGGGCCCGCTGGCTGGGTGGTTCCCTGCGAGGCCTACACCCAACGAGTCCTAAACCCTATGAGTCAAACCCTTCAAAGCCTTTGAACCCTAATCACCACATGGCCCCGATACAAGTTTCAAGCCAAATGTCCTAGATCCTCGAAATCCTAAACCCCAAACGAACTCTATTTGTCGCAAGCCAAGCGTCTTCTCAACTCTGCAACTCTCCCAAACACTAACCCAGAACCCTGTATCTCCGAAGGTTTATAGGGTTGCAGGGCCTAGGGTTAAACCATCAATGAGGTAATTAATCCTCGCCAAGGTTGAGTCTGCGATGTAGTGTTCATCTTTTGGATTCCGGTTTCGGATGAAGGCTCAAAGGGCAGGTTAGGATATTTAGGGTTCAGTTTTAGGAGTTGTTTGGTTCAGGGTCAGCTTGTTCGAAGTATTTAGCAACATAGATAGCACGAGACTAGAAACGACCCCTCTCCCCACGCAGCGCTGAGCCCCAGCGCCTCTATAGCCAAAGCGCGGGGTGGTTCACGACTTGGCGGTAGCTCGGCCATGCGGCGCTTTGCAACCCGCACAGTCGGCTGTGCCTTGCCTCCCTCCAAGTGGTAAGGGTGTGGCATCGTAAGAGGATGGACGAGGCTGAGGAGGCGCAGCATGAGCGATGGAAGGAGAACTACGCCAAGAAAAAGGCATCACGGCGTCGCCGCGCCCAAGAGCTCCAGGTCCAAGATGGGCAGTCTGCAGTGGAGTCGGCCTCCCATGAAGAGCACAAGCAGACTGCTTTCCAGAAATCCGGAGCCGAACATGCTGTGGCCCTGTTGGGGGAAGCACTCGTTATCACAGACGAGCACGAGAAGTTCTTTGAGCTCCAGGCTCTCAACCAAACTTCGAAGCAGCAGATGCACGAAATGGTCAGCAGACACCCAGATGCACCGCCCGACATCCTAAAGGGGTGGCTCATGGAGGAGCATCACGCTCGCACCTACAATCAAAGCGCAATCTATTCGAGGTCTCCTTTCAGAGCTGCATGGTATGGATCTGCTTCTGACAGTCCCTCCGACGTTGGCATTGTCCGCGCCAGCACAGGGGAGACTGTAGATCAGTGTCAGATGAAGTGCGGAACTCCAAAGTATGTCAGCAAGGGGCTTAGGAACCCGGACTACGCAGGGATGCAGAAGGTCTGTAACACGGAGGCCTTAGACAAGGCCAGCAAGCATGGGGCGACTGATCGGATCTGCTATGGCGGCGTGCAGAGTGAACCAGCAGATGCGGAATCCATCAGGGCTCAAGCAGACAAGATCTTGCAGGATGGGGTTGAGGTGGCAGGCATGGAGCAGGCCAGCACCCTGAGTAGACTTGCGACTGCTGCCGAGGTGGGAGTTTCGGCTGCGATGGCCGGAGCCGCTCTTGGCGCGGCTTCTGCAGGGCTGGTGTCGCGGATCGCTGGCGACAAGCCTGAACAGATCAAGTCAAAGGCTGCTGAAGGCGCGTTTCAGGGCAGCGTCGTGGCTGGCTCTGCCGCTGCTGCGAACTCCTTTGCAACTTCGGCCCTGGAGTCTGCAAATGCTGGTATGGTGGCTGGCGGAGTCGTGAGCGGTACCATAATGTTTCTCTTCCAGCTCCGCCGTTGCGAGCAAGCTTTTGGTGCAGATGAGACTCAGAAACGAAGTTGCAAAATGAGCGCAACGGCCACAACTGGCGCGGGCACTGGCGCGGCCATCGCCGGGACGCTGCTTGTCGGTCCTCTTGCAGGCGCTGCTTTTGCTCTTTGTGCTCGCATCACGACGGCCACCTTCTGCTAGGTGCTAGGTCCTGAAGCTGCCAAGACAGAGAGGAAACGGTCCAGCTCTGGTGCATGGATTGCGCCGTGCTTCGTCTTACTCACATGGTGGCTTTTTGATTGTCCCAATGTGGCTTCGATCTACCATGGCAGCGTCGAAGCATGTTGGAAACTGCAGCTGTTGGCACCTTGCATCTTAGAATTCATGGAAGTTTATAGGCGCTTTCTGTTTTTAGGGGTTCGTGGGGTTTGTCGAGTTTATTGGGTTTATAGGGTTTAGTAGCACACGACAATCGGTCTTGGGGGTCAATGGCCTGCTCTAGTACACCATGGTACCTGCACTGACCTCTCATAGGTGTTTGTTGGCAGCGAAGCATCTCCCGCAATGATATGTTTATACCCTAAGACCTAAACCCAAAACCCTCCCATTTGTCACTTCTCATTGCTACCTTTTGCTTGTGGATACGCATGGTGCGTGGTTCTCATCTTGGGGCTCATGTTGTTGTTGAAATACAATGAGAGCACTTTGAGTCACATTCGTTTCTCCAAACATAGCCAGAAACACTATGGTCCAAGTTTTCTGGGAGTATAGGAACCCCCCAGCAAAGGGATACCCCTCCCAGCTTTTGGAGACCCGCTATTGGGTCGTGAGCCCTGAAGTTTTCGAGTGAGGCTCAAGCCCGACCCTCCCAGCAACCGGCTTAGTACGTACAAACCGATAAAAGCCGATGAAACCCTTTGAACCTTGCAAGCCTACAAGCCATGTAAACCCTAATATCGTGGCCTGAATAATTAGAATAGGGTTTTGGGAGGTTACTATAGTAAAATTCTACAGGGACCCTAAGGGGCGACTATTCGTAATTATTCCGACCCCTATATTCCACACTCTCAACCCCCGAAAGGCCTCTACCCTGAACCTCCTGGCTTCCCGACAGGTGGGCGACAGCATGGCAGCGCCAGGGCACCAGATTGTGAGTCGGTGCTATGATTTCACCAGTGACAGTTGAGGGTTCAGGGCTTAAGGCCCAAACTCTTAAAACCTGAAAGTTAAGGTTAAGGGACGGGTTAGGGTACTTCGGTATACGCAGAGTGTATTTTATGTATATATAGGCTTTGTCGGGAAGGAGTATAAGGGTCCTTTCGAGCAGTTCCTCATTGAGCGTCGCTTTTGCCAGCCCGTAGTCCCTGAATCCTGAACGCGAACCCCAACGAACAAAAGGTCACTGAGCTTGACCAAAGACAAGAAGCCGGCCGCCTACACCAGCATCATGCGCAGGCAGAGTTTGCAGGGCTTTGGGGGGTTTACGGGGTGGGGCGGCTTGGCTGTTTTTAAGGGGGAGTTATGTCCTCAACCCCTAAACCCCAAGCCCCGAAAACCTTTTCGGTGCCCTGGGGTCTGGGGGTACAGGATTTAGGTCCTTCGCGCCCAGGATTAGGTCTTAGGGTTGTGGGCTTGTGGGCTGACAGGGTTTCTGGCGGGCAGAACCCCTCCACCCGGGGTTTACTCTAACAAGGATCCTTCGAGGAGCAGAATGTACTCGTAGTAAGGCCCTCGGCGCTGTGATGTTCCAGGGTGATCTGCTGGTACACCCTTGCAGGGTTTCCTATGAATCTGAAACTAAACCGTACGAAGCCCAGAAGCCAGCCCTCCAATCCTCAACACGCAGCCCAAGGGCCGCTGGGTTGGGTTGCTAGTGTCTAGGGAACCCTAAACCCTAAACCCTAAACCCTAAACCCTAAACCCTAAACCCTAAACCCTAAACCCTAAACCCTAAACCCTAAACCCTAAACCCTAAACCCTAAACCCTAAACCCTAAACCCTAAAACCCAAACCCTTTGTGGGTTCAGGGGAACCCTGCCCTGCGCCAGGATGACCTCTCGCGTGAACCAGCTGCACGACGAGCTGGCGCTGGAGAGCGTGACCGGGCTTGACATGATGTAGCACGTGCCTGTCTACACTTTCGGATGGACGGATGGGTCCAGATAAGTCCGGATGATTTGCCAGTGCCATACTCTCTCTCTCTCTCTCTCTCTCTCTCCCTACATAAATAAATAGATAAATATATATATATATATGTAGACCTAACTACACATACATGTATATACACATACACACACATCAAAAGGTGTGCATATGCAGGTGACTGCAGGTGTATGTTCTAAAACAAGCCCTGATCTTTCATTGTTGTTCTTGCTTCTGGTGCGATCGTCGAGTGACTGGGGTTTGGGGGTGTCTTTGGTTAAGTTGTTGATTTTCTGAATAAGGCCAAGCACCCTTCTCCCTTGCTTATACGCCGCGCCTTCAGAGATTCCAGGTGACCAACATCGAGTTCGAGCAGTCCTCGCCCGCCTGCCATGTTTCATGCGGCAATAAAAAGGCAGAACTCCAAAGCCCGGATCCCCAAGAAGCCGGGCGGCAAGACGCAAAAGCCCCCAACCCGGAACCCCCCCCCCCCCCCAGAAAAAAGCAAAAGTATTGTAATGTATGCATATATATATACATCTATATATATATATATTCTACACATATATATATATATATATATATATATATATTAATATGTATGTGTATATATATATATATTTATAAACAATTAAATGTAATACTTATTAAATAAAAATATATATATATATATATCCATATATATATATAGACATATTACAAACTTCCAGACACTAAGCCACCCAAGCCTACACCCCAAGCCCCAGATCCCCTAAACTTCCATTCGTCGGTATAGGCATCGGTATAGTTTTGTTTTCGGTGTTTAGGGTTTAGGGTTTAGGGTTTAGGGTTTAGGGTTGAGGGCTCAGGGTTTAGGATTTAGGGTTGACGGTTTTGCTTCCGGTTGTGTGTTTGCCTTAGTGTCCTTTACCTAGACTTTTGTGTTGGAAAAGTTGTGTGCTGCTTACAGGGTTTGTCCCAGTCGTACGGTCCCGTACCTCGACACTTATGTCAAAGCCATTCTTGCGCGGTTGGCTTTGCCTTTTGAGCAAAATGCCTTGGTCATCGCTATGTATGGAGAGCTTCCAAGAACAGTAGGGTTTAGGGGTTTAGAGCGACCACCTCCCCGAGCCCCTGTCATGCGCGGTGGTGCATTCCGGCCCAGGCCTCCCAAAAGCAACAATCTAAGCACAAAGCGCCTCAACCCTAGCCCTAAACCATGCAAACCACAAACTCCTTAAGCCACAGATCATCGGCATCATCCTAAGCCCTATTCACCCTGACTGTAAGTCCCATAAACCGTAAACGAAACCCGTTGTAAACCGTATAAACCCTATCACACCCGTAAAACCCTATAACATCCTTGTGAAGAAAAACACTTCAAAACCACAACCCCAAAATCTACAAAATTCCGACATAGCCTATTAGACTTTGCCCTGAAGAGCCTTCAAAACCCAACCCCCAACCCCCCCCCCCCCCCCCCAAAAAAAAAAAAAAAAAGGCTTCAAAACCCGCTGCAAGCCGTCAACCTTTGGCCAGGAGGCGGTCCTTTGAGTTCCTCCAGTCTCAGCTTCGCACTCTCAAAGAGGCTTCGGGGGTTCGCGAGTTGGGGAGGGGGGTGGGGGGGCTGTGATGAGGGGTTTAGGGTTTAGGGTTTAGGGTTTAGGGTTTAGGGTAGAGGGTTTCCTCTATACCCTAACACCCTGTGGCATGGTTTATGTCTATAGGGCCTGGGGCCTCCAGCTTTCAGCGTTTCGGGTTTCGAGGCTCTAGGGTTTGCGGCTTTGGGGCGCGAAGGTTTCGGGCTTCGGGCTGGAGACCGCCTTCAGCGCGTGTCAAGTAGATCCTTCTGAAAGGGAAGGCCATTCCTCGTGCCTAAACCCTAAACCCTAAACCCTAAACCCCAAACCCTAAACCCTACACCCTGAACCCTGAACCCTAAACCCTGCCTCCCAAGCCCTACACCGGTTCAGGCTTTCAACACCTTGACCGATACCATCCTGGAAGAGATTGACTTCCTGAGTGGCACCGTCCGTGGTGAGCTTTGGAGGTTCGCGTCGCGGGCTTGGGGTTTAGGGTTTAGGGTTTAGGGTTTGGGGTTCAGGGGCCCTTTGGGGTTTAGGTGAAGTGTGGGCATTCGCTTTGGTTTAGGTCAAGTGTAGGCATTCGCTTTGGGGTTTCAGGTGGGGAGAGGGGGGGGGGGGGGGGGGTCGTTTTTTGTTCGGAGTTATATAGGGTATTTTAAGGCTGAGGGATTAACATTCGGGCTTCCGGAGGCCTCGAAATTTGCGGGAGAAGAGCCCTAAGCCCTTTCAGACTTTAAGCCCTAAACTGAGCTCCGCTTGTCGAACTGGGACCTGAAACCTATAACTTCTCAGCACCGAAACCCGAAACTGCTACACCGGATTCCCTCATCCCTGAACCCCTCAACCCCCCAGACCCTGAAATCCTTGCTACCCTAACCCGGAAAAAACTCCAAACCCCTCCACCTAAATCCTAAACCCTCAACCCTAAACCCTAAACCCTAAACCCCGAACCCCAGCCATGTCCTTGCAGGCTCGATGAGCGGCAGACGGGGTTCGAGAAAGCTTTGGTGCGTGACACCCATGACCAGCAGCCCGGTGGCCCGGGCCATCTGACCTCCTTTTAGGGGTTTAGGGTTTAGGGTTTAGGGTTCAGGGTTCAGGGTTTAGGGTCTAGGGTTTAGGGTTTAGGGGGCTTAGGGCTTGGGGCTTGGGGTTTAGGGTTTAGGGTTTACTAGCTAGGCCCTTTGGACATTAGTTATTTCCCTTCGTGGGTTCAAGAGGATCACGCTCAGGAATGTTTTTCAGAGGGTTTTACGGGCCATCCGAGTTTTGAGTGTAGGGTTTAGGGTTTAGGGTTTCGGGTTTAGGGTTTAGGGTTCAGGGTTTAGGGTTCAGGGAAGCCCCTCCAGAGCCAAAAGCCCTGAACCCTTGAGCCTCTGGAGTTGTAGGGTTTACCCCCAAACCCCAAGCCCCCAAAGCCTACGGCCTAAACCCTGAACCCTAAAGAGCGCTTTGTGGGAGTTACTTGGAGGTTCATGGTACATACTAACCACT